AACACATAATGCGTTTATGCATGCGCATAATACATTTACGCATGCGCGTTTAATGTATAACGGACAGTATAAGCTATGCTAAAATTATCTAATTCAGTTAATGTTGCAGATTGCGTTGTTCCTTAATCTTTGAATTGGATTTGGCTTATTATTTTTTGCAAAGCAGGTTTAGGGTTGCCATAAAAATGGCAAGGGAAGGCAGGGTTGCCACATTTCTTGAGAAATAGCCCATTTGGCGACAAAATTGACAATATACCATGGACAGATGGAGAACCTTCTGGAACAAATTCTTACCGATTTAGCCCAGAATGTTCTCGAACACAAGCCGAAAGCTATATAAACCCTGCTGGTCCGCAGTCAGAATGTGCCTCGTCGAGTGCGAGAGAATTAGTCTCGAGTTAGTCAATCCATGCGGAGTCGATCGAGTTGACCGCCGGTCAGCGAGTGCCGAGTGGGTCATCGAGTGCATTGAAGAGTCTCTTAGTGTATTGCGGTTAGTGCATCAATGAGAAAGTGTGTTAAGCTCTGGGAACGACTGAACCGAAGAGTCAGGAGCTGTGCTCTGTGTGTCATCGAGTGCATCGCGAGGTGTAGCGTGGAGAGTCTCAAGAGTATGTGGAGTTACGAGAACGGCCAAGCAGGGTTGGGAGCTGTACCCTGGTGCTTTGCAGTGAAGTGTCTCCACCGTTATAGCCTGATAACCTGAAGGCAGTGTCGAGGATTGTGCCAGCAAGTGTATGGTAGATCTTCAACGACTATAAATTGTGACATTGGAGCTGTCCTGATTAATATTGCTAAATAAAGTGTGTTTGGATATTCCATCAAGTGCTGTCATCGTTATTCACTCCAAATCCACATAAATCCCGTATGAAAGTGAAGGAAGAAAATAACATAACAACCGGTGTCAGAAAAAAAAAAAAAAAATCGCAACAATATGATAGTGAGATTTCATAGCTAAATAACTGTGGTATGTTGGAATATTAACTTTTGACATTGCGTCATAATGAAAATATGCCTTAGCAGCAAATACATCGTATGCACGCCTAAAATCAGTACATAGTTTAATCAGTTTTATTTGTTTTCAAACTGAATTTAGTTTAGAATTACATGTACTAATTAACATTTTTAATTTATATTTGAAAACGATATCTAACTATTTATTTCTCTTATAAATCGGCAGTTCGCTTTCATTTGTTTCCAAACATTCTGTAACAGCTTACATTTATATATTAAACAAATCCCATTGTATTTTTGTTATATTAGTTTCGCTTACCTCTTTCATTAGTATTCTTATTCAGTTTCTTTTTTTAATTTATTGATTTTCTTCCCCATTATATCATAAGTATTTGATCTTTCAACTACATTATTGTTCATTGTTCTTTCTTGCCGTTTTGTGATAAAAGCTTTTTTTTTTTTTTTTTTTTTTTTTTTTCCTTTCTCTTTTTTTTTTTTTAATACTCTTTTTACTATAAAAACAGATTTTATTGATTATATTTTCATTGCCCGCCAAATTTTAAATGATTTGGAGACCATTATATATGTATGTAAGCAAAGAGGGATGGGGTTTCCCTTGCATGTGCTACTGGGGTCAAAACAACCAGTTCAGCTTGAAAAAAAAATACAGTTTATGCTTGTGCACAATGATTTAATACTTATATACAAATATTTTAATAAAAATGTGTACAAGTTAGCCCTAGTTAGCCCTTATATACAAATATTTTAATAAAAATGTGTACAAGTTAGCCTTAGTGCGATGGTTGAGACTGAAATTTTTCAACATTTTTTGATATATTTGGTTCAATGGGCAGGTAGAGTTCTATAAAAGTCCAGAATACTTAAATCATGGAATCTGGATTTGTATAAGTCAGAAGTTTGTAAATCTAAAAGTTCTATTTGAACATCTTCTGCAGCTTATTCAACTACAACAGAAAATGGATCCCCGAACAGTTTAAATTTAACCTCATGCAACTGAAAGTCTGCAAATCGCTTTTCAAACGAAATAAGCAGCCTCTTTATTTGATCTGAATAATCCAGTTATTTATCAGGAAAATTTTCTTTGAATTTCTTCAGGGAACGAAAATTGACAAAATTTTGACAGCCCAGCTGCTTTGAGAACAGCTGGAGTTTTAGTTTGAAAGCAGATACTGCATTGGCCAGGTGATTGATGAATTGGTTTTTTCCCATCAATTTGCTTTACGTCATTCAGATCAGCTGTCACATCAACTAAAAATGCACACTTTTCAAGTCACACTTGAAAGATGGTTCCTTTTACATCCTAGTTTGCTTGAAATTTTCTTCAAGGAATGGTATTATTTCATCAATCAAATCAGCAAACCTTTTCAAAGCCTCCTCGCCACGGCTCAGCCATCGTACTTCAGAGTAATATATGAGATCATTATGTGGTGCATCAGCGTGTTCTAGGATTTCCTTAAACTGCCCGTGGTTTAACCCTTTGAGGCACAGTGTGTCCGGTCTGGACACACCTAAAAATTTCCTTCTGTACGCACAGAAAAATTGAATGAAAAAGGATTTATAGGTTACTCTGAACCTTCTTTATTTATAGTAGATGGCAGCTCAACACAAATCAGTCCATATATTTTAGCCGTGTTTAGTTTTTTAATACATTTTTCAAATAAATCTTCCAGATCTTTTTTTTAGGGCATAAAAAGAATTGTTTGAAAAGAAATCTCTATGTTATTTTTTTGGCTGTATGCTAATCTCCTTATTCTATATTAGTTTTAAACTTTTACCTTGAAACCTTGCCTAAAATCAAACGGTGAACCCTAGGTGTGCCTAGACGGGGCCCACCAATAATCTAGGACAAATGAGAGTCTGTATTCTTTGTTCCTCCGCATCTCAACAATCAGTTCATTGACAACAATGCTCATTTCAGCACTCTTTTTGAAGTTCTATTCAATCAGTGTGCCCACTTTAGGCAGACCCACAGAATTAAACGATAAGTGCTATCTTCACAAAATTTTACTTGTATACTCCTCTAGGCCTAATTAGACTGCCTACCTTTTTTTTTTTTTTTTTTTTTTTTTTTTTATGAAAACTCCAACTTTAAAAGGTAGCATGCCGGAAAAGGTTAAACCATATGAGCGAATAAAATTGATTGTATTGTTCACTACTTTCATTAGGCGGTCAAATCCTAGATCTTTCGCACATAGCTGTTTTTGGTGTATCATACAATGATATCCAAGAAAATCATTTCCTCTAGCATCCAAATGGTTTCTCAGTAGACTCACCATGCCATTCTGAATTCCAATCATGGCTGGAGCTCCATCAGTATTGATACTAATAAGTTTGTTAATATCAAAATTATGTGCAGAACACAAATTTAAAATTGAGGATAAAATATCAGTTCCAGTTTATCCTCCATTTTAATTATCACGCCCCTTCACTGAACTCAATCCAACCAGTTCTTCAGTTACTTCAAAATTTTTAGAAACTCCTCTGACAAACAAAAGATGCTGAGCTGTTAAAGTAATATCTGTTGACTCATCAGCTGCTAGAGAAATGCACTTAAATTTGGTGGCAGAATTCTGTAATTGTTCAATAACACCATCAGATAAATTTTCAATTCTTCTTTGAATTGTCATTTTGGTGAGACATTTTTTTTAATGTCTTCATAGCTTCAGGGCATACTTTCTCAGAAGCCCACAATATACATTCCTTTGCAAAATCGCCATCAGTAAATGGGCGGCCACTTTTAGCAATTAAGGCTGCAATCCCTAAACTAACTTCAACACAGTTATCTAACTGTGAAGATGCCTTTGTAAATACATTCCTTTGAGCAACGAGAGAACAATGAAGAGATTCAATTTTACGATTTCAATCCTCTCAAGCATTGAAAATGTTGAGTGTTTCGTGTCGTAGTGTTGTTTATTATACTCCTTGCAAATACTAATCGTAAAATTACATATCAAGCATGTAATGCTTGACTTGGTTGCGATTAATCCAAAGACAGTTAAAATAACACAAAGAAGAGGAATAATTCATATTATAATAAATAACAAATAATTTTATTAATAATTTCACAATATTTTCAATCACTTTAATCCACAGAACAAGTTTACTGGGTTAAATAAATTAAATCATATTCACATCAGAAGAGCACACTGTAAATAATGGAAGAATAAACACAAATGAAAAAACTAAGTGGCATTCAAAAACAGTATTTATAAGAGAGTTTGAACAATATTCAAAATAGCATAATTCCCCTCCCCCAATGGTGAGCTCTAGCTGTTTATAGGCATTGGCCAATACTAAGGGCGGAAGCAGAGGTCACTTTATTATGGAGGCACCTAACATATGGACCATCATTGCCTCCTACGAAAGGACAAAGAAATTACATATATGCCTTTTCTGGGATTCGAACCCAGGCCGTTTGGTATGGCAGTCAGACTCACTAACCACTTTTCTGTCTAGCTGGCAGCATAAAAAAGGTCACAACTTTCTTAGTCTTCCTTTTATAATTTTTGGCAGAACTTATATACTCCAGATTATGTGCAGTTAAATAACATATTACTCAGGATATCAAGAATTGTCAATTACCCTGACATCACATTTTACCCCATACAATTTTCTTTTCATATTTGCATTTGCACAACGTTTTGTTTTATGCCCACTGTATGGGAGAGTAATTTATACAACATTCCACAATTAACAAACTTACTTTTTTTTTCAACAGGCCTGAGTCATCTGCAACCTAGTTAATCCACCTTCTGGTTAATTCAGAGTTCACTGTATTTACAAAATTTAAATTTCCAAAACATTTTGGAATTACTTTTCTGTTATGCACCTGTCACACTTTTTGGCACCCGTGAAAGAGAAACTAAACATTCACTGAGACCCAATGATAATGCCTAACACACACATAACTAGCTATAAACTACTCTTATACCTAAAAATTGTTAACAATTGAAAAGCAGGCCAAAATGCATGGCAGGTGCATGATGGAAAAGTATCCAGTGTGGAGATACACAATAATGAAATACCATGTACAGCTAGCCAGTCATTAAGGTTTTCCCCGGGTGGTAATTTCACAGCTTCTTGAAGATTAACTGCAGAATTCAAAGAGGCTTGAGCCCTTTTGTGAAGAGAATAACGCAATGTTCCCTGCTCAAACTTTTTCTTTGGACGGAAAGTCTACAAATGAAATAAAACATATGGTTTACAAATGTTTACTTGCACAGTTAAGTAATATTCTTATAATTTCAAAATAAATTTTTCTCAATAAAAATGATTGTCATCTAAGTACGTGAAACAAATTTTTTGAAGATAGACTATATCAGACATTATGATAAATAACAATCAAAAGTTACAAGTTGCATTAATGATGAAAACAGAAATATATTGTTAATTAATATGTGACATGTAAAGTAATAAATACTTTTACCGTGGGGAAGAAGCACTAAACCTAGTGTACTCATAAGATATTACTCCCAAGTGATGGCCCTACTCTAGGCACAAGATGTTAAGACTACTGCTTCCTTGAATAATATTCTCATAATTTCTAAGAAACTTAATACTCCCTCACTAGACCTGCTTAGCATGTATATGGAATCAATGACAGCTCGTAAATGGACTCAATGATAGCATGTATATGGACTGCTTAGTGGACGCTGCATGAGGTTTACTAAATTGCACAAGTTAGCAGAAACTCCCCTGTAAAGAATTAAGATTTACAGGGGAGCTTAACATAAGCTAGATTTCAAAGCTGTTTGAACTTATGGAGGGGGGAAGAACTTTCATGAAGAAATTTTTTAATAGTTATGATTATGGAAAGCATTCATCTTTTGAAGGGTGCTCCTACAAGTTTTCTATGAAACATACCTGTCCTCCTAAATTACGATTTCCTATTGGATGTATTTTGATTTCATCGTGTTTTTCATAAGCCAGTGGCTATAACATAACGTATGTTCACTATGCTCACAATTTGTTAACTGTAAGATTTCACTTTCACTAAAGGTATCTTGTAAAGATGTTTTAGAGAATTTTGTTTGATGATGTTTGCAAATTTTCCCCTTTCATACATTTCCGATTCATTTTGTAGACAAATTCTTTATTATCATTGGACAGTACTTTATTTAGCAAGTAACAGTTCAATCTGGATTACAGATTTATGAATTATTTAACAAATGCATAAATACATAAGAAGGCTTTAAATAAAATCAGAAGTCAAAATAAAGGAGTAATTTTATCTAAATACAGACAACAGTAATGAAAACAGTTGGTTAATTATTATGGTATTTACATCTGATCCTACCAAACATGAAACCATCTCCAAGTGGTGCAATTTAGCACTAATTATGGATAAGCATGAGTATAACGCCACACTCATTATATCTGTACTTTCACCAGAGACAAACCCAATCAGCTACATTGTTTTTCGAGCAAGGATACAAAATAAGTGCTGTAGCTGGTTTTTCTTTTTCATTTTGAAACATTCCATCCATTCACTGCAATACTAGCAACACTGTACTACAGTTACCCTCTCTGGCAAATTTCTCATTCACTGTTTGTTCTCTTTTATCAAGATGATTTCACAAGATTAACATTTTCAGAAATTTGAGTTATTCAAAATGATACAATCGTGAATTTGTGACAGATATCAACAGAGGCTTTCTACCAATAGTCCTAGAAGTTTCAGGAGCTCTGAAGCAATATTGCTGTTCCAAAAGATAATACTTGAAAGATGATGAATGAATACTTCTATTTTAAGCAGTATCATGTATATAAATCTGCTTTCGCAAACCTTTGACTTTAGGTAGATCTAATACATATTATCGCATCGGTATTTTCCTGTTAGCTTGGTACCAGAATATTTGATCCTGGTGGACTACAACTAAGCTTTTAATAAAATATCACAATTTTTTTATTTCACTGTTATTTTTTAATATATATTTAAATTTATTAATGTAAATTAAATTTAATAAAAATATAAAAGTCCAAAGTCCACCAGGGTCAAGTATTCTGGTTATGGAACAGTATTGCCACATCATTATGCATTTTAATACGAGACATATATTTATCCTACATAAGTTAAAAGGGCACTAATATGTTACTGGGACTGAGTTCAGAAATGTATGCATGTATGGATGGATGTGCTTGTTCATGTATGCAAACATTTGTATACGCAAACACATAGACACATACTCACTTGCATGCATACATACATTTCTGAATCTGGTCCCAATAACAGATGAGTATTACTAAAATTTGAAATTTCAGAGAAATTATAGACATATTTTTAGATACAGTAACATTTGAGGAAAGAATCTATCAACTATAATAATAATAAATTATTGATACTAAACACGTAACCAAAAAATGCATATCACCTCTGGGTACTAAATTGAACTGCAAGTAAAAAACTATATATATCAAACACTGTTTTATCAGTTTCAGAAATTACTAAATACATTACATCCTAGAGATTTACAAAGAGAGCATGATATTAGCAATACTGCCATTTAAATAACCAAATAATTTTAAGGATTAATGTAAAGTTTGGCATGCTTGACTTTTTTTATTTATCAATTACATTACAAATAGCTAAAGTTTGTTTTACTACTATATCTGATTTTATGTATTATATTCTAATGCAACATGTTTCATAAAGAAAATTCAAGAAATGTAACCATTTAAAGAATAACTGACAAATGTTGCTAATATGTTATAATATCAGGTTTTACTCGTGAATCTGACAAAAATTTGAAATATTTTCTGATAAATTTCAGTAAACATTATTAACATGGAATTTATCACAAAAGAAAGATACACATGTTTTAAATGGTTATTTTTCCTACTACAGAATGAATCAGACTATTAGGCTTTATCCCTACAGACATTTCCACTTTCCTTTGGATTCAGGACATAAAAAATAATATTTGCCGAAACTCCCCATATACATGTTAAATTAAATAATTTTTCTAATAAAATTTAACTGTAGAATTCTACTTAATACAACTTTTCAGAATGAAAGATATTAAAAAACTGATGTATTAGATGACAAATAAGTTTATGAACCTAAAAAGAAGGGAAAAAATTACATCATCGAAAGAAAAGCGATCATACTACGCAGTGTTATGCATATGTTTACTCATACTTTCTTTATTTTGGTTTAGAAAATAAACGCCATTCAGAACTATAAATAAACATATACATTACGATGTAAAATACGGAGATGCATAGAAATAACGAAATTTTTACTTTATTCTTTCCAAAAAAATCCACAAATCCAGCCATGAATACTTCAAATCGCAATGAATTTTGGTCAACAGGGTTAAAAAATATTGTACCAGGTTGATATAGAGAATATGGTTGATATTCGAGCAATCGCAAAATAAACTAAGGGCGTTAAACTTTACGCCCGTTAACTAAAAAGTGAGTAAACAAATTTTAATCTAACTGTTCTTCTTTAGAAGAGGAAAACTTTTTTATGATTTTATTTATCCATCTGTATCTCATGTTTATATTTATAGCTATCTTATCGAACAGAAGGCTTTTAAAAAATTTTCTTCTTCCCTTTTTTTTTTCCACAGAAAGTTTGCTGTTGCCGTTTTTTTAAATGTAGTATTAAGCAGATGGCAGCAGAATATAAGTATATAATTCCGATGTGTGTGTTCAATCATGAAATTTTTAAGTTTCGCGTTTGGAATTTATACAAAGTACAGGTACAGTTATAACATATACAGAACATCAGAATGTTTATTTCACTTCTATAAAATTAAGCAATCTCTTTTTCTTCCTCCAGTGTCTAGTTCTTGGCTACATATTACAATTTTAAATAAGGGAAATCTTCACACAACTTCAACGAATTGTTCTAAACATTTCCTCGAAAAAGAAAATGAATATGCACATAATGTGTTGGAAAATATACCTTTTTACAGCAAGTCTGTTCTGAAGCATCCGTTAACAATGCAAACCATGGCATTGACTCTGCGCATTTATGACTCAATGCATGATGCGGTAAATGATTTTGTTAACGTTACGCTACAGAACTTACCATCTGAAATAAGTCTCGAAGATACCAAATTTTTACGTTTGGTAGCAGATTTATCTTATGTGTTGCCTGTTGTTTCAGATGATGATATTGTTAAAATTTTGCATTTTTTGTGTCTCTGGCCGCCTACTCCTAAAACATTCACCCCAAATTTTAAATTATTGTGGAATAATTTGGATAACGAATGTGTTAAAAGATTGAAGTATTGGGATGTAAGTCGTAAATTATTAGTTGCTGATTATTGGTTTCATTTACGATTAAGTCGAATTTCACAATATAACAAGGAATTGATTGAGAATTTGTTGGAAAACGTTCATTCGCTCTCAAATTCTGAGTTAGTTCAACTTATGTTTTACATAAACTTACAGCGAAATGTACCTCAGAGTCTTCTTGGAGGTTTAGAGAGCAAATTAAAAGCAGTAATAGAGTTTATAAGCCTAGAAGAGTTAGGTGTCATATGTTTAGCTTTTTTTAAAACCAGGAATAAAATAAGGGACTTTTCAGTTGTGAAATCTGTCATTAAACAATGTTTTGGGAAATTGGAATGTGTAGATACAGTCACTGTTGCTGCAATACTGAAATTTTTGCGAAAGAGTTTTCATCCATCTTTGATGGACTCGTATATTCCTTTGATGCACAAATGTGTTACTTGCATACCAAAATTTGATATTCCAACTTCTGTTCATTTAGCTCTGCTGTCCTCGGAAACAAATGTTTATCACCCATTACTTCTGAATGCAGTTACTGATAAATTATTGAATGAGTACCAAGATACTCGTATCAAAGACTCTATGAAATTACTCCAGTCCTTGTCGCATTTCAATCATTATGAAGAGTCAGAATTCCACGAAAAATTTCTGATAAATATGCAAAGTGAATCACGACAGCATGAGATAATGTCTCATCCACATTCTTTTGTCTACTCATTGTTATACTATGCATACATGGGTCATTTTAATTACCCATTACTTCGAAAAGCTTTACATGAAGGATTTTATCTTCATAGTTGTTCTGTGCGTCCAGAGACAGCTGCTGCCTTTGCATATTTAGATTACTGTGTTGAAATAGAATGTCCAGATTATGAAGGGCCGAGGCTTGGGAAGAACGCATTAAAAGTTCTCAGAGATCGCAGGGGGAACATGCCATATTCTTGCAATGATCCTAATTTGCAGACTCGATTGATAAGCGATTGTGCAGAAAGCCTTATAAGCATATTAGAATCTGAAGATAATATTCTAATCAGACACATATTACCACATTTGTTTACACCAGATATTGTCATCAGACTGTCAACCAGTGGAAGCCAGTCCCTTTCTGATTTGTATGGAAATTATCCTGCAGAGTCTATTTTAGTTCCCCCATCCAATGAAGTGTGGGCTGCTTTTGTTATTTGTGGTGTGAATTGTTTTGCATACAAATCGAAACATATTAATGGTCTCATTTCTATGAAACTGAGGCAGTTAGAGAAGATTGGCTATAAAGTTGCGTTTATTCCTTTCTATGAGCTCTCAAAAAATAAAACACATCGCAAAAATTATTTGAAAGAAAAGTTAGAGATGTTAAAAAAAGATTTTGACTGTGATAATAGGCCATTTGTGTGTGCGAGACATAAAGCAGTATAATTTAATTTGTGGTTTATAACTTTTAACAGTCGATTGTAAGAAGAATATTTATAAAAAATGAATTTATTTATATATATGTATAGATTTCTGCATTTCAGCAACCTTGGGTTTGTATACCATTTAAATAAATTATTTGAATTTTGTGAATACTAAATGGCAGTCAAATGAAATCTTTTTGTTTGTCCCCATGAAATGTTGGAGTGATGGAAGATTGGTCAGTTATCATTGAATGAAATCAGATAAATCTTCTACTAAAAAATATGCACATTAAAAAAATTATGTAATCGAAAGAATATATAAACATTTTAAAAGAAACAGCTTTTTTCTTGTGATTGAAAAAAGAATATTTATAATCCTTTTTTAAAATGAATATTGTTTATGGAAATTTTTTAAACAAAAAGGGCAATACATATGTTTTACTTTTATGGTTATTTTTCAGGTAGGTGATATAATTGAAGTTAGACTATCAAATGTATCAATAGTAATTTGGGTTTTCTTCTGTAAAGCGCCCAGTTGACGCTTCAGCAAAGAACTCATTGGCACTGTTGCAGTTCTTTGCGGAAGTACTTCCAGTTATTTATTAATCATTGTATGCCTTTCTAAAACTGAAATTTTTATTTATTTATATACTTTAAAAAATTTTGGTTAATCTTTGGATTATGGTAACTTGGCGAACGTTTGGCGACCAACCCTGCTACAGCAACCTGCTAGTTTTTTTTTTTTTTTTTTTTTTTTTTTGACGCCATTTTGTTTTCACGAAGTAAAGGCATTTTTTTTTAACTCAACATTTTTTTTCCAACAATCTGCTAGCCGAATTACGCTTATGCTAGAACTTTTATGGAACGAAAGTGCTTAATCATGACGAAGATTAGGTGCGAAATTGGGAGAAAGTGCAGAATCGCCCATTGCTTGCCGCGTTTTTAAGAATTGCACATACAACACCGTATCCGTGTACACATCGACCTATTTTCACTTAAAAAAACATCCCAGAATTGCACAAAAATCGCATTGCGCACAATCTTGACTTTATCCATGTACACTGGTAAAGTCCTAGCTAATAACCTTTATCGCCTTACCAAAATGTCGCCAAACTACCTGTTACCATATTCTGAAGATTAACCAAAATTTTTTTTAATTTTATTTCATTTATTTATTTTCCTTGTAATATACACATACTCGAGTTTTGGGCATGTTGTCCTACCTTGATCAAATATTTCAAACAACTTATTTCTTCTTCCCCCCCCTTTTTTTTTTTTTTTTTCAAATGAAGAGTTTATAAAATAGGCAGCTGTTTCATTATCAGGACCTGATTCAGATACTGCCAAAAGCTGACAATCTGGTGAGACATTCAAAGTATAAAAACAATTGCCAAAATATTTACTATATGGTTAAGTTGAAGAAAAATCCAAAGGAAAAGACAGAATGACAGATATTCATAAAATTAGAAATTTTTAATGTAAATTAAATAACTTGCCAAAGAAATGAGGGAAAAAAATTCGGTTAGCGAATTAAGAACACAGGGTGATGAAACTGCAGTTATTTAAAATGTCTGAAAACATATGTTTTTTAGGATGCTGCTACTGCCACATAAATTCAATTGAATAAGAATCTAATTGGTTATGGTCAGTGCTGCATTGAAGTTTATTTTACCTTTTTGAACTGACCCATAACTTTTCAATAGTTTGCATATGACAACCAGTATCAATAAAATTATATTAATGGTTAATACATAAATGTTCAGATCTGGCCTCTTTTCATTCTTCAGTGTTATAACTTTTCGAGCAGTCTGGGTATATTATAGTGCCATCAATAATATTTTCTTCAGTAACTTTAAGCAAAGTTCTGGCAAACCACTTAGGCACAGCAACTAAAATACATTATTTTGTTTCTCAGCAAATCCTGCCACACTCCATTTGGGGTTAAAGGATGCATCCAACATTTTTTCGATGCAAAAAGAGACTTTTGTCAACTTTGACAATGTTATGAGTGCTACATATTTTAACTGAAAGTCTAGATATTAATGTATGGCCACAGACTTTCCTTGTATATCTGTACTATTCAACAACAGTGCAATGATTTATATCAAGTTGATGAAATTCAGCAGAAGTTTAGTACTCTTCTGTAATTGGGACCGTATTCAGAAATGTATCTATGAATGCGAGTACCTATTATGTGTATACCCATACATACATTTGTATGTACATGTATATGTGAATACATCCATCTATGCATACATGCATACGTACATACATTTCTGAAGCTGATCCTGATAACATAACATAGAACAGTATTATTGTTTCTGAACACCATGCATAAATGAAACAAATTGCCATTAAGAAACTGATTCTCAAACCTTCAAACTAGTTTTGAGAATGCAACCTTTGTTTTGTGCTCGTCTTGTCATATCTTCACATCTCCATTTTGGTGCTTTCTTTGAATTGAAGAGCTTCATTTTAGGGTTTTTCATGCACTTTGTTTCAGAGTGAATAATATCTCATTCCTGAAGAAATTATATGGAAGAGGTTTCGTCATTAGTTAAGTTCCAAATTTTCATATCCATGGTAAGTACAATAATAATAAAAATAAAAATGGCCATCACATCCTTAGAATTTGTATTCTTATTGCCAATTTTGAAAAGATATTATTTTACTTTACTTGAACTTTATTTTAAAAAGTAAACATTGTAATGATTTTAAAAGTAAACATTGGCAAATTCGTGTGAACCAATCTCTTCTCTCCTTGAAATATTTCTCTTGT